CTTAGTTGTTTTTGTTAAAGTTATTTAATAAAAATTAGTTCAGAAATGCATTTTTTTGTGTTAATATATTTCCTTGGTCCAATTCACATCCGACTGGGCTCGTATTCTTGGGTCTACGTCACTTGGGTGGAAACAAGAAGGGCGTCAACAAAAAGATTGCAGGAAAAATTTAGGCGGAAATTTCGTTATCTGCAAAATATTCTTCGCCCTTTTTGCCTCCGCCCAAATTATTACTCCACCCAAATTGTTCCGCCCTTTTTACGATGGCCCGTTATACTTGATACATCGAAAAATATCGATATCTAACTTTTATTCGAACATTTTGATCGGAAGATTAACCGATGCGGATATATTTTGAAAAATACAGTTTTTTGTATCTTTAATTCAAGATGGCGGCTCGAGCGGTCGCACCCTAAGGTCGAAAACTTGGATTTTTCATCAAGACCTGAACCTTAACAACATATTAAAAAATTACTACTACACCACCTTTTGTATGGCAGAGGCCTATAATGGCCCCCCACTGATTGGACTATTCTTCATTTGTGTAAAAATACTTAGCTAGTTTTAGATAAATCGCTAAATGCCAAACGCTTACTTTGCTATTTTTTCGGACTAGTAAAATGGACCCTTAAAAATCGTGCATATTCTTTTAAATTTTCCGGTATATTTTAAAAAACTTTTTAGAACTGCCTGTTCACCGTAAATTTTCCTACAGTGTAATTTCTACTTGTTTAATTTGACACTTTATGTCAGTTTAATAATATATTTTTGTACTTTTATGCTTAGACGTAAAAATGCTAATCCTAGGCGTTAAAATTACTTTTTTATATTATTAATCACGTAACAAAAAATAACACTTTTGTAACATTTGGAAAAAACATGTTTCTTCTAAAATCAATATGTTTCCTTTATCGACATCCACCTTATGACGTTTGAATAAAAATAGCATGTTCTATTCGGAGTAAAAACGACTTTTTGTGCATCGCTTGTCAAACGTGCAACCTCACCACAAAAAATATTTTTTTACTCCTAAAAAACAATATACTATTTTCTGATGTATACCGCCGATTTTATGTTTAATTAGTGCTTCTCCTGCAAGCGTACCGGTTTAATTACAATTCCGAGACTAAATGCACCATAAACTAAAGACAGTAGCTTGATGCGCACACGTGTGAGGTTTTAGTAATAAATCTAAACACATCTCAGAAGGCCTATCACGTTTCAAAGGCGCGCAGCGCCGACTACGGAGCAGCTTCAACAATAAAATGTAGTCTTTGTTTAGGTTTTATGGCTTTTTCGGAGGAAGATGGCCGGCAGCAGGCTGTCGTCGTTGGTTGTTTTTTCCGTTCGAGGGAAAACGAGAGAAAAAAGCGACAGGAAAGCCGCGTGTGTGTATAATTATGAAGTTCAAGGGTGTTGCAAGCCGCGAGCAGGCGATAAAAATAGACACACTCACTTAGTATCATTAAAATTACTATGTAAAGGTATAAAATCGAAATAATATACAGTGAAATTTCTCTAATTCGAACTTCCTTATTCCTTATGACGCGATGTCCGTCTCATATACTAGTCCATCATTCAACATTCACTGTCCAAATGTCAATTGCATTAAATCAAAATTATTTACCTTACAAAAAATTATCCTGTGGAACCAAAATGACACTAAAATAGAAATAAAATGAGTGAGATGAATGAGAGGAACAACATTTTTCTTCGGAAAATATGACCTTTGCCGAGTTTAGTGTATACACAATACACACAGTGTCATAGATAAAGTCTGTATCATATGGAACTTTTTTGTATTTATTAAATTAGGTAAAATCTGTCTTAGGCTTCCTGCTTTGAATTTATTAAAAATGGCCTGCACAGTTAAAACTGACCGTCTGTAGGGACTTATGTGATTTGAAAGTCTGTTGTGTAATAGGCTGGCGCCCCTGCTAATGCTCATACAGAAAGGGTATTTACAGTGGTCAATATGTTGTAGTCAGGTATAGAAAGGACACAATTATCTTTACTTTCTTTAAAATGTGTGGTAATTATAAAATGCAGTATATGACGGAGTCCGGCGAACATTTTATTAAAAAATTAAGATCATATTTTATAGTTTCCATTTTATTTTTTTAAGTGTATACCGAGTACATAAATTAGGACTGACGCCAATCAGTCCTAATTGCACCCTAATTCAATTGCGTCCTAATGCAATTGTTTACGGTCACTTACTGTTTCACCGGAAATGACTACAACTTTTGATTTTTAAATGGCATCCTCGATCTTCTCTTTACTTTATTCGATAGAAAATGACACTCTGAATAGAATGACATATCACATGTCAACATTTAACATTTTCGAATATGGTTTATTTGAAATTGCAACATGCGATTCATAACGACAATTTGACTCAAAATACCAAGTGTGTGGTACCAAATTATTCGTAAAAAATGCCTTTTCCAAATATGCTAATGAGCGACCCTCGTTCCATTAAAAAAAAATGAAATATGATTAACAATACGATTTGGGCATGTTTTAACCGGCCAGGACAAGACACTAAAATCATTAGACGATCAAATCTATTTTTCCAAGACTCCTTGATTAAAAATTAGTGTTTTTAACACAGCCATGGCACTCTAGATTGAAATTTAAAATACGATTTTTTTTAAAGTGAAAATGTCAAAAGTGGACAAAATGTCAAAAGTGTCATTCTATTCAGAGTGTCATTTTCTATCGAATAAAGTAGAAATATACCGAGGGTGCCATTTAAAAAAATCAAAAGTTGGAGTCATTTGAAACAGTCGTAAAACAGGAAGTACCCGAAAAGAATTGAATACATCAATCAGTCCTAATTGATGTCATATACTAACATACCAAATCTCGTTTTTTAATCAGAAAAAATAAAAAAGTTATAGGGGTGAGCCACTTTTGAGACGCACCCGGTATATAGTATATACGATAAGATGTCAAAAACTTTATTGGAAATACCGCAACACCATGCAAAATCTTAAGACATTTCCATGAAGACGACGCACAGTGATAGAAAACGCGAATCTAGAATTCCAAAAGTCCAATTTTTGTTTGTAAGATAATAACGAATCAATCACCGTTTTATCTTTATAAATATTCAGGAATCAAAAAAAGGTGAAATTTGAATTTATATCTCAGTAAACAATTTTTTACGGAGTTCCAAAAATGGTATATTTAATTAGTAGGCATGGAGACATTCAGGGGCGGATACAGGCATTTATTTTAGGGGGGGCCCAAAATAAAAAGTAATGTAGAATATGCTTTTTAGGGTCCCATTTTTAACCAAAAAGCCTAATATTTAACACAATTTGCGGATTTTAGGGGGGGGGGGCCGGGCCCCATGGGCCCCCCTCTGTATCCGCCACTGGAGACATTATTTGTCGTTATTTACGCGAACTGAAAAGAGCTGTTAGAGGTGTGTTGGGCAAATTGAGTTTACCAAAATTAAGATGGATATTTATGGAGGTAAGGTATTTTACTTTTTTCATGATTTGTTTATTTTTAAAATAAATCTACTCACAGTAAACACCAACAATAATCTGGAAAAAATTAAACATAAAAATAATCAAATTTATATAAATTGGAGCAGAACTTTTTTGCGACTCGTTCCGACTCGGACCTTTTGTCACTGATGTCTTGTATAGTCATTCTTCTTTTCAAATATCCATAAACCTTTTGCGTATACGTGCGTTTGTACAGGGTGTTCACGGTTAAAACATTGAATTTTTACATTTTTTTTTAATTAAATTTTTCTTGTGTGATTTTCACCACCATGTATCAAATTATTACCAAAAATTAACATAATTCACATAAACTATGTCCTCTTCAACAAGAAAGTCAACCCCAATTAAGTAATTAATGCTCCCATAAGGAAAAAAGCTAAGTATTCTGTAGCCTGCACACTTCATATTTGACATGAAATTTAAATTATATCGCGAAATCGGTTGAATTTAGGTCCCTATAGGACATTATACATAAAAACAACATGCAACATGAAAATGTATAATGAAATATGTCTAGAATTTTATATAAAATCCGAATATGGAATAATATAGAGGGTGTTCTATTTAAAATAAGCAAGTTGACATCTACTTCCGGTATAACCGGAAATGTTACTATCTTGAAAATAATTTTAAATTATGCACCACTAATTACCTAACAACTTTTGTATTTAACATTTTTTTGTCATCACTGTAAATAAGGGAAATATCTTCCCCCAACACATCGTCATACTCACCCTGTGCATTATAAATTTTACTTTAAATATCTATGGTTATATTTAAACACAAAAAGAAGAAAATAGAATAATTTTCGTAAGAAATAAAATATATTTTCTTACTAAGAGACTTTTGGAATTCTAGATTCGTATTTCCTATCACTGTGCGACGGCATCACTATGATGAAAAAGAAAAATGTTGTCAATTTTTTCTAGTTATAATTGGTAGGCCCAGTTTTATTGGGCGTAGGTTTAAGCTTGAATCTCACTATACCTTCCGTATCAGCTACCTTCCGTTTACATAAAATATTATTTCAAGTAAATGAATAGGACAATGCACACTATCCGTTCCGTTTCCCTACCGTTCCATATCCTCTCCTTCCGTACATTTTTTAGCGGACGGACTGAAGCCCATCGGAAACAGCGTTGTCAAGTTCTTACTTTTGTATCACAACCTCTTAATTAAATATATTATCTTTTTCAAAAGATACAATTTTTAAAATAAAACATTCGTAATGATATAAATTGCACAATAAAAAGTATGGAACTGATAAGGAACGGATGCATACGTATAGCGTGAATACAATCAAAAATACGGAACGGATATAAAATGGATATGAAATGGAAACGGAAGGTATAGTGAAAATCAACCTTTAAATATAAACCTTATTCAAAGATATTAATATCACGAGTGTTATACAGATATTATGACAATTTCTAAATAAAATTATACATACTTAAATAGATATGATAAATTCGTACTTACATTCGATCAGCAAAGATGCCGGTGAACTTGTGATCGGTGCATTTCTTCTAGTGATGTCCTCGGCGATACAAGTAAATTCACCAGTATCCCGTTCCCTGTCCACTCTAGTGATATAGAGATCACTTCCTTTCATGAAACGTCTCGTAGTATTTACAACTTTCGATCCTGAAACATAAACAAATGTTATTTATGACCATGTATACTAAACAATCATCATATCACTATATGCAGAGATATATGAATGTAATTTTGAAAAATCTCTATATAATATACACGAAAAACATTAGTGTATAGTTTTTCTCGTGCAAATGTTCCCTTTATGACAAAATTCAATACTAATTAAAAGATCTAAATACGAACCGGAATGCATATACGATGCCAGATGTCTAAGTGAGGAAAAGTCTCGTGATATCTACTATAGATCGACAATATTAAATAAAAATAATAATAATTTAAATAATAAAAAACATTCCGGACTGATATTTCGGGGGCTTTTTAGTCACAAGTAAAAATATCTATTATGTCTGGGTATTTTGATTTCTTTTAGGTTAATTACTTACTAAGACATATCATTAATATAACATGGCAATTAAATCTTCCCCACTTTTTGATTTATTACGGTTCCCAAATTAGCTCCAACGCCCAATGAGCCGAAAGAAGACCTCAAACTATGCTTAATTATTATTTATATTTCTATTTTGGGAACGAACTTCTAAATTTATATTTCCGAAACACCGAGCGAAATACATATTTATGTTTATAGCCTCCATATTTGCATTCAAATTTTAAGATTCTTAATACTACCTAACATTTTTTTTAGCCGACCATACCAACAGGTTATTAAGATCGGCAAAAAAAAGTTTTTTTAATTTCACTCACAATGATTTATTTGGGTCATAAATGACCTAAATACAAAATATTTTCATGGTGTCTGTCTGTCTGTCTGTCCGTCTGTCTGTAACACGATAACTCAAAAACCGCTAAACCGATTATGTGTGGCACCCGAGAATCTGGCCATTAGTTTTTGGTGGGGGTGGGGGGTTGGTTTAAAAAATCGTAACTCCAAAATTACAGTAGCTAGCGAAACGCGGTTTTCAATTTAAGATTAGGAATAATATTTGCAACAAAATATGTAATAACATCAAAATCAGTCAAAGTCGCAGTTTTTGAGATAAAAAAAAATTGGAAAAATGCCTTTACTTTGAAACTAAAAGAACTGCCTACCAACTTTTTATTAACATATTTCAACCTACCACTCGGTGTAAGTATTATTGTATTTTTAGGTTCCTTTCTCACCACTTTATACTTTATACCGTATGATCGAAAAAAAATGGCGTCCAGTTGGCTTGGAAATGACGATCGATGACATTTCCCATATAATTTTACATATAAAATGACAGCGATTTTCATTTCAGAGCCATTGCTGACGCCGTTTTTATTCGATCATACGGTATTTATTTGTTATTTTATACATAGTTACCACATACCACAGTACCACATAAAAAAATTATATTTTCAACCATTTCTTTAAAAAAAATAATTAAAAATACAAATTACCAAAATCACAACAACGCTCAATACTTTGTAGAGGTAGTCTGTACTTGCTTAATAAAGTTTGGATTCTTCCAAAACCAAAACAGGGACAGGCGGGTAGAAGTATTTAGGCCAAAAACTAAAAAATGGGCACCTATACCCCTGCATCTTTCATGCAGAATCTACGCTATCGAAAGATACGAACAATTTATCTATATAAATAGGAAATATCGAAAACAGGAAATAGCCATCTTATCCGACAGTCAAGCAGCACTAAAAGCGATCAACTCAGTAACCATCAATTCGAAGTTGGTCAAAGAATGCCTAGAGAAGCTGAATAAATTAGGCAAAGAAAATAAAGTCCTTCTAGTCTCGGTGCCCGCTCACCAAGGGATAGAAGGCAATGAAAAGGCTAATGATCTAGCTAGAAAAAGAGTGAAAATTCCACTAACTGGACCAGAACCGTTCTGCTTTCCAAGGGGAAACCAACTTAAAGCGGAACTAAGAACCTGCGGAAGCAAATGCTATACAAATCGATTTTGGAGGTGTAACATTTGTTGTGGTTTGCAGAGAAGAAATTTTTACACAGATGCTGATTTGAGGTACAAGATGACCTTTAAAGTGAAATAACATTATACGACAATAGTCGCCAAAGCAAATAAAATAATCATTCGGAAGATGAGTTTATGGTATTTAAAGAATTGATATTTCTGTTAAAATAATACTAATAAAGATCTGCAAAAACATACAGTACGTCTGTCCGTTCTGTAGCTACGGGGTATCCGTGAGAGGGGAAACGATATTCTCTCCATATTTTTCGTAAAAAGTTAGACGACGCGTCCCATCAATAAAAATTCGACAAATTTGCAACTAGCCAATAAAATGAGTGGGCGGAGCGATTTGCGGTGACGTACTCGTAAAGTCGACGTATAAAATATATTGTTGTTTATTTAAATGTCTTTTGTCCGCATTCCTTTCATAGACACAGATCCAGCAGACGTACTGTACAGTGTGGGAATTATTTTGGAAGTCCTACCCGAATGGGTACGGGTGGTATGGATTGTCGTACTTAGGCCAAAAATACGAATATCGTTCAAGCGTAAAGTGCCTTTATTTAAAAGAATTTTGAAAAATGGCAAAAGTTATTGTTTGGAATTAAAAGATAAACCTAGTGGCTTTGTAGCTACAGCCTCTCATGCGGAAAATGAAAATTTATCAGAAAATACTGAAGCGTCCTCGTATAGTTCATTTTTTATGATCCGCGTATACTCGTGTTTCGTGTTAAAACTAACTAAAATCAAACAAGTGTTGATTATTTTGACTGAGTTAGATCCTTATAATCTACAGAGGATTTTATTTTTTTCTACAACCACGTATGTTATTACTGTTGGAATATTCCTATTTGGATTAGACTTAAAAAATAAAAAAATTCCATATGTTGCATCATTATTAGTGGATGATCTGTATAAGAATGGAAGTGATCAAACTAAATATTCCCAATAGTCACAAGTCACAACCACCCAGTCCAAAAAATTTGAAATTTTTTAAACATTTGTCCCAAAAAAACAGTTCTATACAGGGTGTCCCAGAAATAAGTGCAAGTATTTTAAGGGGTGCTAGATCTCGATAAAAGAAACTTAATTTCTTTTTATCATTTTTCAAATAAGTCCAAAATAACGGAGTTATTTTACTTTGAAAATTAAAAAAGATTTTTTGCTAAAATTTTGAGAACCACTGGATCTTTTCTTTTTTTTCTTTTTTGTAAATTTAAACTACCTAATACATATGTTGCCATATTATCAAGAAATTAAGTTTTTAACTAAAAACTAAAAAAAATCCAAAAATTCTCGAATTTTCAAAAAAAAATTCGCGAAAAAAACCTCATAGGCGTGTTTCTGGGGTTGAACTATACTACCAGTTGCAGCAGAACTATACTACTACTTGCACTTATTTCTGGGACACCCACTGGGACGATTACACTCAACTACGTTTCTAATATAATTTCTTTCAAGCCTGTCCAGAAATAATATAAAACAAAACTCGAATAAACCAGTTCCGAAAACATCATTAACATCAACAAACACCAGATACAACCGTCCCAAGTATAAACTTAAGACATACAGGCCGATAATTGCGCGTTCTACGTACCATTCAATTCCCAGTAGTAGATAATGCCATTTCCCGGAGTCACTTCGCAGGGCAGGGTGACCGAGGACCCCACGTTCACGGACACTTCTTCCGGACTTCGCTTGAAATAGGGCTCTTCGATGGTCGAGCACAAGCAAAGAAGACCCGCTGAAAAACAAGAGAAAACGAATGTAATTATATGGGTATTTCTTTTGTTGGTGCGGTGTATAATTGCGGGTAAAACTCCCCGTTTTGTCGATGGCTGGGTAATTAAGAAAGTTTATGGGAGAGTTGTTCTTAAAATAGGCCTTTCCGTAGATTGGAACACAGATTAAATCATTGTTTTGTTTATTCAAATAAAATTCTTTGTCATTATTCAAAAATATTTAAATTTGGGGCCCCGACTCAACTCAAGAATATAAATCTTTCAAAAAAAAATCCTAGTTTTTTTTTAAACACGGCTTATTCAGGACCAGCTGGCCGCTTCCACTTGTTTTTGAGAATCCGCGTGTCCTCACTACTGCGCCTATTTGCGTACACAAGCCAACAGTCAAAGCACCAGTTTCGAACTTTGGTTTAAAAAGAACTTTTAAGAATGTCAATTACAAATTTGGGTATAGTACTAATAATAAATTACAACAACTATACGGTAATACTAAAGATAAAATACCTTCACTGGAAATGTCAGGATATTTATGAAATTTCATATAAAGATTGTAATCAGAAATATATTAGGCAAACTAGAAGATCAATACTAATTAGATATAAAAACATATGGCTCAGATGAGGTGGTAGACCGAATAAATCTTGCGTTGCTCAACATATTGTTGATAAAGATCATTAATCAAAATTAATTAAACAAGTCGCAAATAACAAAGAATTAGGATGCACATAGTATGAGAGCGTCAAAACTAATAAATGTAAAGATAGTTTTGCCACGCTTGGTCAGTGCCAACTGAACGCCTATATAAACGCTCATTGAGCAGATATTAGTTTAGTTTTAATCATCTGCTGATGATGCTAACATAGTTAGCGAAACGCACGTCCAGTGCAAAAGTAAAGTGTTTGGTGTATTGTGGTGAATTAGTGTTTTATTTCTTTACTAGTTGAGACCTGACGCATCCGCCACGACATCAGGAAAAAAATACTTTTTATTTTTTTTTAATTAAATGAAAAACATAAAATCCGGCGACGACAATTTTTAGAAGAGCCAATTAGCTATCTTTTAGTAAAAAAAGCAGCTTTCTAGAGCAAGTCAGTAGAGACGACACAGATAAACATTAGCATTTTATATACCTATGTAGATGCTATTGTAACACCAAAGGTTCCAAGTTCCAACCCACACCTGTAATTGTCATTTTAAAATTAAGAATTACTAGGAAAGGAAATAATTATTATGCTACTTTTTGGGTAATAAAAAATTAAAAAAAGTAAGAAATCTTCAGAAAATATTTCTTCTTAATTTTCCTACTGTTTTTGGAAATCAAATAAAAAATACCTATTTTTATTTAGCTAACACCGATAAATCAACAAAAAATAACTTATAAATAATTTCAAATAAATTACAATAAAATGTTACTTAGTTATTAATTATGCCATGCGATAAAAAACAGCGTCCAGTTGGCTTTGACATGACAATCGATGACATTTCCGTATAATTTTAGTTACAAAATGGCAGCTATCTTAATTTTTAAGCTATTTACATATAACGCCGTTTCTTTTCGATCGTATGGTATAATAATTAATAACTATTAGTACTATTTGACTGTAATTTATTTGAAATTCTTGTTAAGCCTTATGCTCGAGACCAACCGGACAAAACAGAAACAAGACCGAGAACAAGACTAAAACATAATGTTTCACTAATTATTTGTAACAAATTGAAGATATTTCTGCGAGATTTTTGTCTTTCTTTTGTTTTCAAATATATCGCGAGTTTTGCGTCCTGCAAAATTAATTCAGTAAAAAGGCAAGTCATTCAGTAAAAGGTCGGCCCTTCAAATTTAGGATTTTTTTTGAATTGTTATAGGCCAACAAGGCATATTATTCAATATGATCGAAAAAAAAACGGCGTCAGCGATGGCTATGAAATGAAGATCGCTAGATATCATTTTATATGCAAAATTATATTAATATATGAGGAATGTGATCGATCATTTCCACGCCAACTGGACGCCGTTTTTATTCGATCATATGACACTTTATATAATTCTTCTCTATTCATTCATAAAAAAAATCGTGTTAAAGCATGAACGAAGTTCGTATCTAATTTTTTAGTAAATCGAGCAATTCTCGAATACATGACGTTAGATTTTCGATTTCTTAAACATGCCAGTTGTCTTTTTAAAAAAGTTGTAATTTATTTATACATATATTGAATAAAAATGATTTATGTTGTAATTTAAAATTCGAAAAAAAATAATTTTTTGGAAATAGATTTGTGTGGCAACTTTTTTTAATCTTCAAAAGCCTTTTTCTAATCTTTCTATAATACAATATGATCGAAAAAAACGGCGTCGGCGATGGCTATCAAATAAAGTCAACTGAACGTCGTTTTTTTTTCGATCATACAGCAATTGAAGGAGTGCCTGCAATAACCAGGTAGCTCCACTATCTTGCCCTTTAAAAATGTGGCCGATCGTTTCCTGCAACAATCAGTTCTCTCAATATAACAGTACATAAATGGCGACGTTAGTTGGAGCTGCCTTGCTCTGGGTTTGCATCAAGAACCGAGCAGCTCTTTTTCGATTTCCCACAAATTCATTAAAACGGAGCTGCCTGGTTATTGCAGCCATCCCTTCAATTAGTGTTAATTTTTGACAAGTTTTATGTAAAATTTTAGTAAATGTTGTCTGTGAAAGTGCCCTCGCCAAAATTATCACCGATTGTCACTTCCCAACCGTCTTTGACACCATTTTTATTCGATCATACTTATATAAAAATACCGTATGATCGAAAAAAAAATGGCGTCCGGTTGGCATGGAAATGACGATCCAAAACATTCCCCATATAATTTGACATATAAAATGACAGCGATCTTCATTTCACAGCCATCGCTGACGCCGTTTTTTTTCCGATCATATTATCACAGATTATACAGATTATAATCTTTGTTTTTTCTTTATTGTTTTTCGTGGTTCAAATTTTCGGAATCGGGCACTAGTTAGGTGACTAGTTTGCGCACATAGCACGCCCACTTACGGCCTCTAAAATTGTGCACAGCGCCTGACCGACACAGTTATTAGAGAGATATCGGAAAACCGTATAGCGTCATCCAGTATTTACGCGTACCTTATCATGGTTACGATCTTTGGTTACGATATGCGCGAGTCAACGAAACACCCGCTAATAACGTTACCGCCTGACGTAATTTGCGGATCAATTACACCAAGCGCTGTTTCTAAATAACCTCAAAAATTGCTTAAATGGGCATGTGCGGGTATTTGACAACCGGAGCCGGCCGGCGAGATCTTTTATTTTAGGTTATGTTTGAATTGTTTTGAATTACTGCTTTAGTTGTATTAGGTAATTTGATGTTTAAGTAGCTGGGATTAGTTTTAATTAAATAAATATGGCCCAAAATATGGATTCCACCTCTTCCAATACTAAAGAACCTATAAAGAGTCTTAGGTTTATATTTACAGCAGATGACGACTTAGCCCTTCTAAGAGAATTTGTTGCTTGTTGCTCTAAACCTATTGGTAGACGTTGAACAATAAAGCACTGGAAATAAGCACTTTAGCCCTTTAGTTTTAAAATACCTAAGTAAACAAAACAATTTCCAAAGTTTTAAATTCAAAGTTAGGTTAAGTTTAAATAGCGGACGCGACGCGAACAGAATTCTTTCCGATCCGATAACTCTAAATGAAGAGAGTTAATACCGCCTCTCACGCTTTGACCTCACGTAAAGGAAATAACCAGAGTATAACACCTGGCCTTATTAACGTCCATGCACGCTATTCGGTTTAGCGATATCTCTCTATTACGCTGTTTATTGTTATTTTACGCGAGTTTATTTTTGTGCACAGGAAATTTGACTCGTTTGCACATCGTCATAAAAAACAATTTTCGTACCACGAATTAGGGACAAGATTTTTATCTGTATACTTATAGGATACCTAATCTGTGATATTATACTATAGCTTTTTGTTTTATGTCGTGAAAGTCAAATGTGAACTTTCTATTTTTATTCTTATTGATCCAATTTCCAAGTAGTTTATATCTGCATAAGAATCTTTAATTAAAAAAAAATGTGAGTGCGCTATGTGCGCATATTTGGAGTGAAGCTTCTTACTAACAGTTATTGTTAGTTAAATTGAAGGATTTGAAGGACATGTTTGAAAATGTGCAGTTTGAAATGTTGAAAAAATAATAAATTAAAAAAATATTTTTTACGCGTAAAAATTAGTTTTTTGCGTGTAACAATTAAATAGTTTTTACGTGTAACAGGTAACAATATATAGGTAATTAGGCATATTATTTTTGAATAATCAGTCAATAATAATTAAAATTAGCTACTTAATTGATTACCTTGTAATAATTATTAATTATTATACATATGTGTGTGTGTGTATAATATAAATAGGATTTACATTACATATTAATATAACTATTTCCAAAGAACACTAAACGCAATTAAACATGAAATGTAATTTATGTAATTATATCTTCTTCATTTTTAACTGTCGCAATATAATAAAACAAATGAAACTGCGTGTAATGATCCATGCGAAAATTCCGGTTTGTCTGCTTTGCGCTCCGAGCACAGAGCCTACTTCGCTCTACCTCTGAGCAATTTGCAACGATTTGTATCCATTGGAGCTAATTAATTCCTTACAAAGCCGGCAAAAAAACGTAAAATAAAAAGGCGAACAAGTTTAACTTGGGAACAATGCATTCATTCTACAGACTAATGAATAACAGACCGATATATAATTAAAAAACTGTCGAATTTTCAGAAATAATTTATGGAAGTTAATGACCGTTTTTTAATGATTTTGGGTCTGAAAATATTTCATCGCAGGTAAAAGATCGTAGTTTTTAAATCAAGACACCCTATGCAGTTGCTCCAAAAACAATAAAGTTGGACAGAAATGTTTTAAAATACGGATTTTTACGGATTGTTATAAAATAAAAAATTTAGTGGATTATTTTTTAATATCTGTGGAATATTTAAATCTAAATCTGTCAATTTCTTATTTTTTCTAAAGTATAAAATATTCTTACCAGTAAGGAAGAGCAAAATTACGGAATTATTGATTCCAGACATGTTAAAACTTCGGGAGAATTGATGTAAACAACAATAACAAATTACACTCCGAGAACGCCGACAAAAAACGACAATATTTTCTTCATATTTGAATGAAAACAGTTAAAAAAAATCGTTCAGAGTCTATGGGAATACGTAAATAATCGGAGAAAATCACGAAAAACACAACAACCCTTCGAAGTTCACGCCAAACTGGCTTTTCTCGATCCTGAACCTGAATCAACTGAGTTTCGAGTTTCGAGCCGGTCAAGTTCAGCGCCCGGCATTTGTTTGAAATTCAAACGGTTGCGTTCGGCATCTTGGACGAAGTTTGCCGATCTTTTAATTCGATCAAAAGATCTTCGAATGGTAGGCAACCAAATATACAGTTTAATGATAATGTAGGAATCTATAAATTCTTGATAAATTCCAAATTGACTATGATCTGTGATTATGATTCATAAATTTGCAATGTTGTCAGTATGATTTTTAATTCTTTGTAAATAATACACTGGATGAAAGAAACATTTCCGAAAAAAATAATTTCCATTACTACCATTTTTGCGTGCAAAATATTCTAATAAAGTTGCGATGAGTTTTTTACGGCTATTAAGCTAACTTGTACATTTCGCTCTAAAAAAGGTTCTAAAAAGAACAATGTTCGATTGCAAGGTCTGCTAGTAAATATTAATGTGTTTAAACCAAAAACTCGTAATACAAAACTAAAGTGCCAAAACGAATGACAATGTCAGGAAATAAATAAGTAAATGTGGCAACTTGATATATTTTACAGCAGAGCTACCATCTGATCCCCAGCGGATAATTTAAGTTTTAGTTAGTCAGTCCGGTGCCAAATATATCCATGGTTAACAACAATGAATTTAAAAATCGCGCTCTTGATTACGTAACTAAATGTTTAATTGGTATCAAGTATAAAATTATTTTGATCTCGCATTTTTATTGTCGGGCGTCGGGCGTCGGGCAGTCTGTGTATGGAAAAAAATATTGGAAAATTTTTTCCATTATTTTTACTCCAATACAGATTATGGGTATTATCCAGATTTGTTAAATCAAGACTGAACAAATAAAAACTGTCCAGTGATTCAGTGACAGTTGTCCAATTTTTCTGATATATTTTAGGAAGAACCGGCAACATAGAACTGACGTGCTTTCTTGGAAATTCCATTTTTTGCCTATAGATTTGACAACTCTAATTTGACGTTGACAAATTCTGTGGTTGACATGTTGACAACGACAACCACAGTTGACCAAATATAAACTTTTTTAATTTATAAAAAGATAATCAGCTTAGGAATTTGGGAAAAATAATTACTTTTTCAGTTACCACTAGTGATTGTGCAACTTACGCCGTAGATATTAAGAAACTGTATAAAACGCTTTCTATCAGTTTTATTTCTTTTATTGTTTTTAATTAAAATCGAAAATTGAGAGTAAGATTAATAACTTTCAGATTTCAAAGAAATCAACGCTCACTAATTTTTATGTGGAATTGTGAATTTCTAAAAAAGATAAAATGGCAAACAAGTGTAACGTAAGTACGAATTATTAAATTTTTATGCAAAAAATTGCTAAAACCAATAAAACTTGGAGGATTTTGAAGTTCTTGAATGATTCAGTTAATTATATTTCCAGGATTGTGGATGTCTCTGCAAAAAGTGCTCTACAAATGATCATGATGTTCAACTTCATCTAGAAATAGAAAATCTGAAGCAGCAATTAGTTGAAAAGGAAAACCATATTGTGATGATGGAAACAAACTTCTTAAATGAAGCGAACAAATTTCCTAGTGGTGAATTAGTTGCTTTAAAAGAAGAACTGTTAACTTGGCAAGATAAGTACAAACGGTAAGAAGTTACAAATATGTTATTTTATCATGATAACATCTAATATAATTTTTAGTTTATATGAAGCACATAGAAGAGTTCAAAGAGTTAATCAGGGACTTGAAGATAAACTATTAAAACTGGTAGATGTGTGTGAAACTGACAAGAATGTTTTAACAAAAGATGTTGCTACATTATCTCGTAATTTAGCAGATGCCAATTATGCAATTAAGAAACTAACAGAGGATAATGTAAATTTATTGCTATATTGTTATTTTCAGAGAAATAATTTCAATTTTCTTATAGGAGAGATATAAAAATGATGTCAGTTTAGCAATCCAATTTTTACAGTGCAAGCAAACTAATTTTGTTGCACATAGGTTTGATTCAGTAAGTTCTTCAAAAAGTGTTAAAATCTTGACAATTAATAAACAAATTTATTTACAGCTCCCTGTTGAAGTACAGACAGAAGTAGCATCATATATGAGCCATAAACGAAAACCTAATGAAGAGAGGAAAGTGCCATTAGAACCTAAGAGTATTAAAGTTCCTATACCCACGTTTCCACCTACGGCAATGGTTTATTCTGTACCAAAGTCACCGAGACCTGATAGAAAAATGGCTGATGATGCAGAAAAACCAGAAGTAGATATTGTTTCGGCTGCCATTATGGCAAAAGGTAAGTCAGACATGTCATTAAACCATATATTTATAAAATCTATATGAACATACAGTTTATTAATATAGAACTGTTATTGACTAATAATAGTTAGCAAGAAAAACATATCAAGTTGAATGAGCTGCCTATTTATAAATAAATATACAAATTTCCTTTCTGTTGTGATAATACGTATAAATAAAGTATATTTAAGGTCATTTGTTAGCCTTTGAAGGTTCCAAAAAATAGATTAAAATAATTCATTCATTCATGTATTAAGAAAAACATATTTTATTTTTTGATATGCAAATTTTCCGTTGAGTATTTGCTTTTTTTGTATCTTTTTTTAATTAAATAATCAGTATTTTTTTAAAGATAAATATTTCATTCAAACTAATATGTGACATTTAATTGAATGCCAGTACCACTGACAAGTAAATGGATAGTCAAGCATAATAACTAGACCTCAACCTTTGAGTTTGACCTTGATACTTTTGTTAAAATTTGAAGTAACAGTATAAAAATTAATATTAAATTAATCAAGGCAAAGTAGATTTTTATTTGAATTTAAATTGTCTCGAAATTTTAATACTATAAATACTAAATACTATCAAAATCATAAAGAGATATGAAGTCATTCATATATCCTCATTTAATTGCTTAGAGTTAATAATTAATAATTAATTGCCTTTGGATTGGTTTTTGAATAAATTTGAAATTTAGGTTAAAATACTTTATGATAAAAAAAATAGGCGTCAAGTTGGCTTGGAAATGACGATCCATGACATTCTCCATGTAATTCACATAATATAAAGTAATAGTGATCATTATTCCCGAAGCCAAATCGGACGTTTTTTTTTATTGTATGATATACCGGGTGCATCTAAAAGTGACTCACCCCCTATACCTCTTTTATTTTTTCACATAAAAAATCGAGATGGCATTCTAAATTGAAATTTAAAATACAATTTTTTAAGGCAAAAATGTTAAAGTTGACATGTGATATGTCATTCAATTCAGAGTGTCATTTTCTATTGAATAACATTTAATAATTATTAATTTAATGTTTATACAATAGTGCCATTATCATTACCAACAGGAAGTGACCAAAAACAATTGAATTCGTCAATCAATCGTAATTTATGTCATATACTAACATACCGCATCATATATAACATATTTTTTTATCTGAAAAAATAAAAAAGTTATGGAGGTGAGTCGCTTTCTAGACGCACCCGGTATATAGTTCGCCAAAATATATTTCAATTTCTCAAACAATTAAATATCATTTCTTGAAAAATGTTAAAATTATTAATTTTTTCAACACTGCTATTTTGACTGCTTTGTGTCTGGAACTCAATTTTCATCAAAAACATGATGGTGAAAACCGCACATCAATATCTGTTACCGTTTAGGAGTTACGGGGTGTTTTTCAAAAATGTGCATTTTTAACAAATCGCTGTAACTTTTTTGCTATGGAAAATTTTGTATTTCTATGAAAACATTTCAAAAGCACCTTTTTACGTAGAATTTAATGGTATAAGTATATTTTTTTTTTTAAATTAGTAATTTAAGAGTTATCAACAGAAAAGTTGATTTTTTATTTGGGACACCCTCTATATTTTTAATTAACCGAAAATAATTTAAAATTACCTTTCCAAAAATATAGCACACTTGATATTTTGTTATATTCCTCTTCGAAATACAGAATTTTTAAAAGTTCGCCACTTTTAACTAGTAGGCTTTGGACCCCTTATTGATGATATGCCCTTAATGGAACTCGAAAGCATATTTTTCCAGCAAGAAGAGGCACCGCCTCAGAACGCTGAAGTTATCAGCAAATTTTTGCAGCCAATTTCAAGAATAATTGAATAGCTAACCAAGATCCCAGCCGTTGGCCGTCGAGGCCACCTGACTTAGATGCCCATGGATCTAATCCTATGGATATATTTGCGGTAGAATAAAGGTTCCTTATTCTTCCGTATAATCTAGACAAGAATTATAAATACTTAGCAGTTATGAGAGGGTATCTTTCACCCCCACTTAGTTAATGAATTCCGCGAGAAATGTTCAGAAACGACCCTGTCTGTCCATAACAGAAGATAGTCGATATAACAGAAGACGGTCGAGCACCAGCAGCGAAATCTCATGTCTTGGTTTGCTATTTATTTTTAATCAGATATAGTGTAAATGTGTTGATGTTGGTTAAATATATTTTAAATTGTTATAAAATTCTGCATCTCTCATAGAAAATATTATTTTCGTTTTAATTGATGCTCACAGCTAGAATTTTTGGTGCCATTCAAAGCCTACTTATTTAAAGCAGGCGAATTTTTGTATACTCTATATCTCGAAGAGGAATCGAGCAAAATATCAAGTGTGTTATATTTTTGGAAAAGTAATTTTAAATTCTTTTCAATAAATTAAAGATATACAGGGTGTCTCATATAAAAAATCAATTTTTTCTGTTGATAATTCTTAAATTATTAATTTTAAAAATTATACTTAAACCATTAAATTCTACGTAAAAGGTGCTTTGGAAATGTTTTCATAAAATACAAAGTTTTCCATAGCAAAAAAATTACAGCGATTTGTTAAAAATGCATATTTTTGAAAAACACCCCGTAACTCCGAAACGGTAACAGATATCGATATGGGGTTTTCACCATCATGTTTTTGACAAAAATTGAGCTCCAGACACCGATATTAGTTTTCGTCTATCTGCTATAGAAAAGGGTGTTTCCATTTAAAAACGTCGAATTTGACCCACCCTGTACACTAAGGAAGACAAGCAAAATTAGCAAGACCCCCGAGACCCCGAAAGGGTTTTAATAATTCTAAAATTAACAAATTGGCGCTTATGTTGTTTCCCTCCAGAACGCTTCATTTGTTTTAAAGATAAAAATATTCCTTCCTTAGTTTTTTTTTTATAATGATTTCATATAAAGTATGCGAAAACGGTACAGAATCGAAATGATGAAACAATTTAAATTTCTCTATGATCTTTAATAACTAATTTCATATTAGATAAAAAGTGAATATGAATGACGTGTATAATTCCGAGTAAAATTAAGATTAATGTTGACATTTTAAACAAAAACTGGTTTTATTTATTGATAACTTATTTATTTGGGCAATTCAATATAAAATAAACAAAAGGATGTTATGAAACTTCAAAATTCCACTACATTGAATTTAGAATAACAAATAAAGTTAAAAATTAGTACATTTTGAAAAAAAATTTATAGGTACTTAGTTATAGCAGTCAAAATAGCAGTGTTGAAAAAATTAATCGTTTTAACATTTTTCAAGAAATGATATTTAATTGTTTGAGAAATTGAAATATATTTTGGCGAACTATATACCGGGTGCGTCTAGAAAGCGACTCACCTCGCATAACTTTTTTATTTTTTCAGATAAAAAAATATGTTATATATGATGCGGTATGTTAGTATATGACATAAATTAGGATTGATTGACGAATTCAATTGTTTTTGGTCACTTCCTGTTGGTAATGATAATGGCACTATTGTATAAACATTAAATTAATAATTATTTTAAATTAATAAAAATTAAATTAATAAACATTTTATAACATTTTTATACATTACAGCTTAAAAAGTAGACAGAAAAATCTTTTTACAGAATATTTTAACTGAAACGATAATCTGTACTGTACAGGGTGGGTCAAATTCGACGCTTTTAAATGGAAACACCTTTTTCTATAGGAGATAGACAAAAACTAATATCGGTGTCTGGAGCTCAATTTTTGTCAAAAACATGATGGTGAAAACCCCATATCGATATCTGTTACCGTTTCGGAGTTACGGGGTGTTTTTCAAAAATATGCATTTTTAACAAATCGCTGTAATTTTTTTGCTATGGAAAACTTTGTATTTTTATGAAAACATTTCCAAAGCACCTTTTTACGTAGAATTTAATGGTTTAAGTATAATTTTTTTAAAATTAATAATTTAAGAATTATCAACAGAAAAATTGATTTTTTATATGAGACACCCTGTATATCTTTAATTTATTGAAAAGAATTTAAAATTACTTTTCCAAAAATATAACACACTTGATATTTTGCTCGATTCCTCTTCGAGATATAGAGTATACAAAAATTCGCCTGCTTTAAATAAGTAGGCTTTGAATGGCACCAAAAAAATTCTAGCTGTGAGCATCAATTAAAACGAAAATAATATTTTCTATGAGAGATGCAGAATTTTATAACAATTTAAAATATATTTAACCAACATCAACACATTTACACTATATCTGATTAAAAATAAATAGCAAACCAAGACATGAGATTTTGCTGCTGGTGCTCGACCGTCTTCTGTTATATCGACTATCTTCTGTTATGGACAGACAGGGTCGTTTCTGAACATTTCTCGCGGAATTCATTAACTAAGTGGGGGTGAAAGATACCCTCTCATAACTGCTAAGTATTTATAATTCTTGTCTAGATTATACGGAAGAATAAGGAACCTTTATTCTACCGCAAATATATCCATAGGATTAGATCCATGGGCACTAAGTCAGGTGGCCTCGACGGCCAACGGCTGGGATCTTGGTTAGCTATTCAATTATTCTTGAAATTGGCTGCAAAAATTTGCTGATAACTTCAGCGTTCTGAGGCGGTGCCTCTTCTTGCTGGAAAAATATGCTTTCGAGTTCCATTAAGGGCATATCATCAATAAGGGGTCCAAAGCCTACTAGTTAAAAGTGGCGAACTTTTAAAAATTCTGTATTTCGAAGAGGTGTAAAATTTTTGACAACTGTCAAATTTGACAGCTCAACATTTTTTTTTTCATTTTCGCCCATGGCCGTCCTATATATCAATTTTTACTTCAAAATCGACAACTTTGAAATTTTTGACAGCTGTCAAATTTGACAGCTCAAATTTTTTTTCTTTCATTTTAGCCCATGGCCATCCTATATATCAATTATTATGAAAATCGGTTGACTTTGAAATTTTGACATGTCATTAAACTGTCATTTTTTCAAGATGGCCGTTC